AATGCGGCCCTTCTGCCGGCCGGGGGGCCGCGCTGCGGGGAGCGCGGGAGGCCCGGGGGGAGCGGGCCTGGGCTCTGCCCCACAGCGCAGCCGCAGCGCCCTGGGAAAAGCGTCCCCATATCCCAGCCCCGCTGCAGTTCGTCCCCACATCCCAGCCCCACTGCAGTTCATTCCCACATCCCAGCCCCACTGCAGTTCGTCCCCACATCCCAGCCCCACTCCTCCCAGCTCTGTGCCCCACATCTCAGCCCCACTGCAGTTCATTCCCACATCTCAGCCCCACTGCAGTTCATTCCCACATCCCAGCCCCGCTGCAGTTCATTCCCACATCCCAGCCCCACTCCCACCTCTGTGCCCCACACTCCAGCCCCATTGCAATTCGTCCCCATATCCCAGCCCCGCTGCAGTTCGTCCCCATATCCCAGCCCCACTCCTCCCAGCCCCAGGCCCCACACTCCAGCCCCATTGCAATTCGTCCCCGTATCTCAGCCCCACTGCAGTTCGTCCCCACATCCCAGCCCCACTGCAGTTTGTCCCCACATCTCAGCCCCACTGCAGTTCGTCCCCACATCCCAGCCCCACTGCAGTTCGTCCCCACATCTCAGCCCCACTGCAGTTCGTCCCCACATCCCAGCCCCACTGCAATTCATCCCCACATCCCAGCGCCGCTGCAGTTCATTCCCATATCCCAGCCCCACTCCCCCCAGCTCTGTGCCCCACACCCCAGCCCCACTCCCCCCAAACGACGCATCCCCCACCTCCCCCCTTTTCCCCTTGCAGTGAGTTGGATTACTACGACTCTCCCAGCGTCAACGCGCGGTGCCAGAAGATCTGCGACCAGTGGGACGTGCTGGGCTCCCTGACCCACAGCCGCAGGGAGGCCCTGGAGGTGGGGCAGCCCCTTCCCTTCCCCACACCCGGCCCTGCGCCGCCCCCTCCTCACCCCACGTGGGATTTTCTCCCCGCAGAAAACAGAGAAGCAGCTGGAAACCATCGACGAGCTGCACCTGGAATACGCCAAGAGGGCAGCGCCCTTCAACAACTGGATGGAGAGCGCCATGGAGGACCTGCAGGACATGTTCATCGTGCACACCATCGAGGAGATCGAGGTGGGGGGTGATTTTGTCCCCTGGGGGGGGAGACGAGCTGCTGTGACGCCCCTCAAGCTCCTTGTAACAACACAGTACAGTAATACAGTAATATTGCCCCAATGCAGTGCAGTAATAAATAACGTTGCCCCAATGCAATACAGTAACATTACCCCAATGCAATAATACAGTAATATTGCCCCAATGCAACACAGTAATATTGCCCCAATACAATGCAATAATAAATAACATTGCCCCAATACAATAAGAAATAACATTGCCCCAATACAATAATAAATAACATTGCCCCAATGCAATAATAAATAACATTGCCCCAATGCAATAATACAGTAATATTACCCCAATGCAATGCAGTAACATTGCCCCAATCCAATGCAATAATAAATAACATTGCCCCAATGCAATAATAAATAACATTGCCCCAATGCAATAATAAATAACATTGCCCCAATGCAATAATAAATAACATTGCCCCAATGCAATAATAAATAACATTGCCCCAATGCAATAATAAATAAAATTGCCCCAATACAATAATACAGTAATATTACCCCAATGCAATAATAAATAACATTGCCCCAATGCAATAATAAATAACATTGCCCCAATGCAATAATACAGTAATATTACCCCAATGCAATGCAGTAACATTGCCCCAATGCAGTAATACAACCATCTTGCCCCATTAACAACCCGCAGGGTCTGATTGCTGCCCACGACCAATTCAAAGCCACGCTGCCCGATGCCGACAGGGAGCGCGAGGCCATCCTGGGCATCCAGCGCGAGGCGCAGCGCATCGCCGAGCTGCACAGCATCAAACTGGCTGCCAACAACCCCTACACCTCCGTCACCCCGCAGGTCATCAACTCCAAGTGGGAACGGGTGAGAGCTGCAGCGGGGCGGCCGGGGGGGGGCAGCTGTGGGGTGTGTGGGGCAGGTTTGGGTTGTGTGGGGCAGGTTTGGGTTGTGTGGGGCAGCTTTGGTGTGTGTGGGGCAGCTGTGGGTTGTGTGGGGCAGGTTTGGGGTGTGTGGGGCAGCTGTGGGTTGTGTGGGGCAGGTTTGGGGTGTGTGGGGCAGCTTTGGGGTGTGTGGGGCAGCTGTGGGGTGTGTGGGGCAGGTTTGGGTTGTGTGGGGCAGCTTTGGTGTGTGTGGGGCAGCTGTGGGGTGTGTGGGGCAGGTTTGGGGTGTGTGGGGCAGCTTTGGTGTGTGTGGGGCAGCTGTGGGGTGTGTGGGGCAGGTTTGGGGTGTGTGGGGCAGCTGTGGGGTGTGTGGGGCAGGTTTGGGGTGTGTGGGGCAGGTTTGGGTTGTGGGGCAGCTGTGGGTTTGTGGGGCAGCTGTGGGGTGTGTGGGGCAGGTTTGGGTTGTGTGGGGCAGGTTTGGGGTGTGTGGGGCAGCTGTGGGTTGTGTGGGGCAGCTGTGGGTTGTGTGGGGCAGGTTTGGGGTGTGTGGGGCAGCTGTGGGGTGTGTGGGGCAGCTGTGGGGTGTGTGGGGCAGCTGTGGGGTGCATGAGGCAGCTTTGGGGTGTGTGGGGCAGCTGTGGGGTGTGTGGGGCAACTGTGGGATGAGTGGGGGCAGCTGTGGGTGTGTGATGCAGCTGTGGGATGTGTGCGGCAACTTTGGGGTCCGTGGGGCAGCTGTGGGGTTTGTGGGGCAGCTGTGGGTGCATCCTTCCCCCCCCCCAGCGCCGGGACCCCCCCCCCCCGCTTTGTGCCCCCAGGTGCAGCAGTTGGTGCCCACGCGGGACCGAGCGCTGCAGGACGAGCAGAGCAGGCAGCAATGCAACGAGAGGCTGCGGCGGCAGTTTGCAGGGCAGGCCAACATCGTGGGGCCGTGGATGCAGACCAAGATGGAGGTGAGGGGGGCGGGCGGGGGGGGGGGGGGGGTTGCAGGGTGGTGGGGAGGGGTCTCCATTCCCACCCCCTCCCCGCTTTCTGCCATCGGCCTGCAGGAGATCGGGCGCATCTCCATCGAGATGCACGGCACGCTGGAGGATCAGCTGCAGCACCTGAAGCACTACGAGCAGAGCATCGTGGACTACAAACCCAACCTGGAGCTGCTGGAGCAGCAGCACCAGCTGGTGCAGGAGGCGCTCATCTTCGACAACAAGCACACCAACTACACCATGGAGGTGGGGGGGGGGCGGGAAATGGGGGTCTGGGAGCCCCAAAGTGGGAGGAAGGGGCCTCCGTGGGGGGGGGGGATGAATGCGGGGCCTTGAACGGCGCCAGGGGGCTTCCTGGGGGGGGGGGGGTCCCTCCTCGTTGACCCCCTGCCCCCTTTCATTGACCCCCTGTCCCTCCCATCAACCCCCTGCCCCAAATTGATCCCCTGCCCCCCCATTGACCCCCTGACCCCCCTGTTGGCACCCCCTCTCCCCCCACTGACCCCCTGTCCCCCCCATTGACCCCCTCTCCCCCCACTGACCCCCTGGCCCCCCCATTGACCCCCTGCCCCTTCCATTGACCCTCTATCCTCCCCATTGACCTGCTGTCCCCCCCATCGACCCCCTCTCCCCCCCATCGACCCCCTGTCCCCAAATTAACCCCCTGCCTCCCCCATCGACCCTCTGTCCCCCCATCGATCCCCTCTCCCCCCCATTGACCCCCTGCCTCCTCATCGACCCCCTGTCCCCCCCATTGACCCCCTCTCCCCCCCATCGACCCCCTCTCCCCCCCATCGACCCTCTGTCCCCAAATTGATCCCCTGCCCCCCCCCATTGACCCCCTGCCCCCTCATCGACCCCCTCTCCCCCCCATTGACCCCCTCTCCCCCCCATTGACCCCCTGCCCCTCATCGACCCCCTGTCCTCCCCATTGACCCCCTCTCCCCCCTCGCAGCACATCCGCGTGGGCTGGGAGCAGCTGCTCACCACCATCGCCCGCACCATCAACGAGGTGGAGAACCAAATCCTGACGCGCGACGCCAAGGGCATCAGCCAGGAACAGATGCAGGAATTCCGGGCCTCCTTCAATCACTTCGATAAGGTGGGGGCTCCCCTTTACAGACCCCCTCTTTTGGAGGTGTGACCCCCCCACCCCACACCTCAGAGCCCCCCGGTCGCAGCATTGAGGCGCACAGCAGCGCAGCCCCCTCCCCACGTGCTCAGCCGCATCCTTTCCCCCCTCCCCAACATTGGGACCCCCCAGGATCACTGCGGAGCTCTGGGACCCGAGGAATTCAAGGCTTGTCTCATCAGCCTGGGTTACGACGTGGAGAACGACCGGCAGGTTTGTCCCCATCCTCCTCTTCCTCCCCATCCTCCTCTTCCTCCCCATCCTCTGCTCTTCCTCCTCCTCTGCCCGTCTTCCGCGCTCCTTTTCCCCTCTCTCTGCCATTCGCTCCAAACTTTGCTCTCGATCTCTTCTGCTTCTCCTTTTGGGGTCGCCTCGGGGTTTCCTCTGCATGCGCTGCCCATCTCTGCCCTTCGGCCGCTCTCCTCCTCCTCCTCTTCCTCCCGCTCTGCGTAGAAGCGCGCAGGCACCGCGGACACGGACGAGTTCCGGGCGCTGCTCCTGTCGGCGGGCTGCACTCTGGTACGGGCACTGCTCTCTTTTCACCCCTTTCTTTCACCCCTTTTCCCCACCTTTCTCTCCTTCCTACCTGGGCCGCAGGGCGCCCCCAGCACCGATTTCCCTTCCACCTTCGGGATCAAACCGCCTCCTTCCAGCCCTACAGAGGGGGGCGCTGAGCGCGACCCCCATCCATGCCCCCCCGTTTATCCGGCAGGGCGACGCTGAGTTCAACCGCATCATGAGCCTGGTGGATCCCAACGGCAGCGGCAGCGTCACCTTCCAGGCCTTCATCGACTTCATGTCCCGCGAGACCACCGACACCGACACGGCCGACCAGGTCATCGCCTCCTTCAAGGTGCTGGCGGGGGACAAGGTGAGCGCCGGCCTGCGCCCCGTGCCGCCTCCCTGCTTCCTAATGACGGCATCCAGGGCACCCTGGGGTCACCTCAGTGGGTCCCTATGGGTCACTGTGGCACCTCTGTGGCTCCCTGCATCACCCTGTGGGTCCTTGAGTCACCCATGGGTGCCCATGTCACCCCGTGGGTCCCTGTGTCACGCAGGGGTGCCTATGTCACCCTATGGGTCTCTGTGTCCCCCCTATGGCTCCCTGTGTCACCTCCATGGGTCCCTGTGTCACCTCAGTGGGTCCCTATGGGTCACTGTGGCACCTCCGTGGCTCCCTGCATCACCCTGTGGGTCTCTGTGTCCCCCCTGTGGGTCCCTGTGTCACGCAGGGGTGCCTATGTCACCCTGTGGGTCTTTGTGTCACCCCTATGGCTCCCTGTGTCACCTCCATGGCACCTCCGTGGGTCCCTGAGTCCCCACCGTGGGTCCCTGTGTTACCCCTATGGCTCCCTGTGTCACCCCCATAGGTGCCTATGTCTCCCCTATGGGTCCCTGAGTCCCTCCCATGGGTCGCTGGGTCCCTATGTCACCCTGTGGGTCTTTGTGTCACCCCTATGGGTCACTGGGTCACCTCAGTGGGTGCCTATGGGTCACTGTGGCACCTCTGTGGCTCCCTGCATCACCCTGTGGGTCCCTGAGTCCTCCCCGTGGCTCCCTGTGTCACCCATGGGTGCCTATGTCACCCTGTGGGTCCCTGTGTCCCCCCTGTGGGTCCCTGGGTCACCTCCATGGGTCCCTGGGTCACCTCAGTGGTTCCCTATGGGTCACTGTGTTACCTCCATTGGTTCCTGCATCACCCTGTGGGTCCCCGTGTCACCCCCATGGATGACTGTGTCATTCATGGGTCTCTATGTGTCCCCCTATGTGTTCCTGTGTGCCCCCATGGTCCCTGGGTCACCTCAGTGGGTCTCTACGGGTCCCTACATCACCCCCATGGGTCCCTGCATCACCCTACGGGTCCCTGGGTCACCTCAGTGGGTCGCTGTGGGTCGCTGAGCACAGTGGGCTGCCCAGGGATGCGACTTGAGTCGCCGTGCGTGATGCAGTTAAAAACCATTCGGTGGCGCTCGGGTTCAGCGGAGGGTGGGGAGTTGGGGTGGGCAGGGCTGTTAATTAGGGCAGGGTGGCTGGGCTGGGCTGTTAATTAGGGCAGGGCTGTTAATTAGGGCATCGTGGCTCGGTCGGGTCGCACAGCTGGGCTCGACGATCCTCGAGCTCTTTCCCAACCCTTCTCCTGTCCTCTACGAACCGGGGGAGGCACCGAGCGCCCATTTACACCCCCCCCCCCTCCGGTTTTCCCCCTCCCCCAGAATTACATCACGGCGGAGGAGCTGCGCCGCGAGCTGCCCCCGGAGCAGGCCGAGTATTGCATCGCCCGCATGGCTCCGTACCGCGGCCCCGACGCCGCTCCGGGCGCCCTGGACTACAAATCCTTCTCCACTGCGCTCTATGGGGAGAGCGACCTCTGAGCCGCCCCCCATCCGGCGCCCCCTCCCCCCCCAGCCCCGAGCGCTGGCGCTTCCCGCAGGACCAAAACCCAACCTCCCCCCCCCCGCCCCCCATCCCCACTCCGAGCTCCGCATCCGCACTCACGGCCGTCCCTGCGCCCGGTTGAAGGGGGGGGGGGGGGAGCAAGGGGGGATTGGGGGGGATTGAGGGCCCCCCACCCCCCGGCGCCCCCCCGCCTTCGGGTATCGCGCATTATACCGACGTGTACCTCTATGCAATGATATTGATATATATATATATATATTTTTTTTCCACTTTTTGCTCTGTTGAGGGAGCCGGGAGGGGGGGGGGGGGCGGGGGTGAAGAGTTGGGGGGGGGGGCGGGGGGCTCACTCACCTGTTTGCTTTGGGGGGGGGGGGGGGGGGGCACTCAGATAACGGTTATTTTTTTTAACGTAGCCCCCTTCTATTTTTGCAACTGACAAAAGCGGCTCCACACGCGGCCCCCGACCCCCCCCCCCATCACCCCCCCCCCCATCACCCCCCCCCCATCACCCCCACCCCCACCCCCCAACCCCACGTCTCTTTAATTTATGCTCTGTGCAGCAGAAAATCCCCACACAGCTCCACTTCCCCCCTCCCCCCCCCCCCAAATTGGGGCACAAAACCCCTCAGAGGGGGTTGGGGGGGGGGGGGGGAAAGAGATGACAACTCCCCCCCCCCTCCCCCTTGGAGCAGGTTTTACTGAGGACCAAAAAAAAAAAGAAACCAAACCAAACCAATGAAAAGCAGCCGATCAGAGAAATTCACCTCGAGGTTCCGTTGCCTTTGCTGATGGCGTTGGTACCGAAATATAAAGATAAAGCCCTCACTGCGCAGCACCTCTTGCTCACGTCGTTCATTCAGGGGCCGCCCCTCGCCCCCCCTCCCCCTCGCCCCCCCCCCAGGGGACGCAATAAAGGTGTTGGATTTGTTTGGGTGCCTCTTTCTGGAGGTTTTGGGGAGGGGGGGGGGGAAGGAGGATGGGGAGAAGGGAGCCGAACCCTTCAGCTTTCATTAAGAACCCTCAACGCTGAGCCCCAGCTGCCCCCCCTGTGCCTGTATGGCTCTGTTTGGGACCCCCGGGGGATCCCTGCAGCCCACCCCCCCCCATAGGATCCCTGCAGACCCCCCTCCCCATGGGATCCCTGCAGCCCCCCCCCCCTTGGCCTTTGCCTCAGGCCCCATCTATCCCCCTCAGTGCCCTACATCACCCCTCTTCTCCATATTACCCCTCTCTTTCCACCCCTATGGGTTCAGTGGTGCACCCCAAAAAAGGTAGGGGTGCCCCCACTTGGAGGCCCGGATCCCATTTCAGGGACTGGCAGCTCTTTGAGCCCCACATGGAGACAGGAATCTCCTTGGTGTCCAAGCCTGTGGTGCCACCCCACAGCAACCCCAGGGACGAGGTGGGATGCAGGACCCCGGGCACAGCCACGTTTATTTGGGGGGCTGGGGTTGTTCTGACCCTACAGTTTGGAATAGGTAACGGCCTCGGGGCCCTTCTTCTCCATGACAGCCTGCACTGACTTCAGGACGTCGTCCGTCTGCAGCATGCTCATGTTCCAGACCGCCTGGGGAGGGGGGACCCCTGGTGGGATGGGGATGATGAGGGACGTGGGGAGGGGGCTGTGGGTTGGGGGGATGCTCACCATGAAGCGCAGGCTGTCGGGCACCGGGTGATCCCTCGAGTACAACAAGTTCACCTTGGTGCCCTGCACGGCCACGGGGCTGCGGGCTGCGATGGAGGCGGCCAAATCCAGGGCTCCCTGCAGCAGCGCAGCCTTATCTGGGAAAACACGGCTGGGGGGGGGGGGGGGGGGGGGGGGGGGAGGAAAAGGGGAGGTGGAGATGGGGACGCTTTGGGGACACGGGGGGAGGTGGGGGGGGGGGGTCACCTCTGGGGGCCGCTCACCTCACCAAGCCGCAGCTCTGCGCCTCGGGGGCCATCATCTTGCGAGCGGTGAAGGCCAACTCGTTGACGAGGCTGCGGGGGTCCCGGGAGGTGAGGGGGGGTCTCCCCGCGTGCGTCCCACCATCGTCCCCACCACCCTTGTCACCCACCTTTGGCTGCCCACGATCTTGGGGAGACGCTGCAGTGTGCCCACGTCGGCCGCCAGCCCGATGTCCACCTCCTGCGGGACAGGGGACAGCGTGGGGACATGGGGGGGACAGCGTGGGGACATGGGGGGACATGGGGGGACATGGGGGGACATGGGGGGGGACGTCTGGGGACACGGGAAGTGGCGTGGGAACATGAGGACATGAAGGAAGACACTGAAGTGGCCGTGGGACAACCAGTGATGCGTTCAGGTTGGAGAAGACCTCCAAGACGCCAACTGCCTCAACCCACCGACCCCCGAGCGTCACCCTGTAGATTTATGAGAGGCCCTGGGGACATCCCTGAAAATGAGGGGACATCCGAGGGGACACGGAGACCCCAGAGGAACCAGGGGAGATCTGAGAACGTCGCAGGGCCCCCAGGGATGGCCTAAAGGAAGCAGGGACGGCTGATGGCCCCCAGGGCCACCCAACGAGGTCCCCCCGCTTACCTTCACCTGGAACCACGCGTCCTGGCTGCAGTAGCGGATGTCACAGGCACACACCAGGTCCACACCTGCAGAGGGGACCCCACGCCTGTGAGAGGGGCCCATCGTGGGCCCCCCAACCCCCCCCAAGCCCCGCTCACCTCCTCCGATGCAGGCGCCGTGCACAGCCGCAATCACAGGTTTGGGACACTGCGGGGCAGCGGGGAACAAAGACCCCATTCCTAAGCCACCCCGCTTTCCCAAACCATTCTCCCCTCTCCCCCCCCCATCCCAGCCCCATCCCAACCCAATCCCACCTTCTCCAACACGGTGAAGCTCTCCTGGTACGCGCGGATCTTCTGCTGCAGCTGCCAGGCCTTCCTGGCTGTGTCCTCACCGTCCACCATCATGAAATCCTTGCCCATGTCAACCAGATCGATCCCTGTGTTTCCCCCCCCCCCAAGCATGGGGGCTCAGCTCCATTCCTCACCCCCGGGTGAGGGGCAGTGAGCCCTCCCCATCTCCCCCACTCTCAACACTCCCAATTCCTTCCAGTTTCTATGAGACCCCCTACAATGAACCCAAATCCACCTCCAGGGGGTCCCTGGTCCTGGGTGGCAGCACCCAGCGGCCCCAATTCACCCCCCCTCAGAGGGTCCTGGAGACTTTTGAGTCCCAGACCCTTCCTCACCAGCTGTGAAGATGGGCCCCGCGCCTGAGATGACGACGGCGTGGCACGACGGGTCCTGGCTGATGTCCTGGAAGCACTTCACCATCTCCCTGCAGGGACAGCACTGAGGAAGAGGCCTGGGGGGGTGGGGAGGCAGATGAATTGGGGTTGGGGGGCTGGGGGGGTACCTCCAGAAGGCGATGTTCATGGCGTTTCTCTTCTCGGGGCGGTTCAGCTCCACGTGCAGCACGTGCTCCTGCACCGGCGTCACACGCAGGGTCTCAAAGCTGCGGCGCTGCGGCTCTGCTGCCCCCGAGGCCATCGTGCGGGTCAACAGCCAGAACGCTGCGGGGAGGGGGGGTCAGGGGATGGATTGAGGAGAGATGGGAGCCACCGGGCAGGGAGTGGGATGCACAAAAAGGGAGTGGGGAAAGTGGGGAGGGACCGGGGAGCAGCGGGAGCTGCTGGGAAGGAACTTTGGGGCATCGTAATGCACCGAGATGGGACCGAGAGCCACGGGAGCGGGACTGGGAAGCACTGGGGAGAGACAGGAATCCGTCAGAGAGGGGCTGATGAGGCTCTGAAGGGACTGGGAGGTATTGGGAACCAAGGGGAGAGGCTGCAAGGCACCGAGCCATGGGAAAGGACTGGGGGGGGGGGCACTGGGAGCAAGGAAGGGGGAACGGGGACCAACTGGGAGCTACTGGGACCAACTGGGAGCTACTGGGACCCCCTGGGACTCACCCAGGTGAAGGGAAAAGGGACACTGAGAGCACTGGGAATGAGGGGTGGGCCCAGGCAGCCGCTCATTGTTCAACCCAGGGGCCCTGAGAGGATCGGGAGGATCTGGGGGGGGGACAGAGGGGTCCAGAAGGTCCCAAGGCGGGGGAACACACAGAAGGCTTAGGGAGGATCCTGCAGTAACAGGGGTGGAAGTGGAGCAGAGGGCAGGAGGACACCGGGGGGGCACAGGGGGGTCCTGGGGGTCCCGGCCGGGCTTTGGGCAAAACGGGGCCCGCAGGGCAGCACTCACGTCTGGTCCGCAACGTCCGCAGCCCCGCGGCGATCACCGCCATTCGCGGCTACTCAGTCTTCCAAAGGTCGAGACCAACAAGTGGGGAAGAGAGCGCCGCCCCTCTACAACACGACCGGCCCCTCCCACCACGTGACCCTTCCGGAGCGTGAGAGGACAGACTCGGCTTCCGGTCCCGCCCCCCCCGGGGGCGGAAGTGCTCTCTATCCCAGCAGAAAGCGCCGCTCTCTCTTCTCCTCCGCCCCGGGAGGACTCGGGGAGCTGGGGGGAGCCCCGTTGTCCCCCTCCTCAAATAAGGGGGCGGACGGCTGCACCCATTCCCCTCTATTTAACCCCAACTGGGGTCAGCTGCACCCATGCCCCCCAGTCCCCTTCCCTGTCTATCATCTCCCTCCAAGCACGGGGGGCTGATCCCCCTACCACCCCAGCTCCATTCTCCTCTCTTTCATTCCCATCTACACCCCAAAATGGGGGAGGCTGCCCCCACAATCCCCCATGTCCCCCCCAGACCCATTCCCACTGAAAACAGGAAAAGGCACAACCTCCCCCCCCCCCCCCTTTAAAGGCTGGGAAAAGCAGCTGTTTCCAAACAGTTTATTGAAAGGCGCCGGGGACCCAGCAGCGGGGAGGGGGGGGGGGGGATTGGGGGGGCGGAGGGTTACAACACGGGGATGGGTCACACGTACAATCGTTCTCCTTAAAAATGATAGGGGGGGGGGGGGAAGAGGGGAAATGGGGAGGGGGTGGGGGGGAGGGCACCGCCACGGCCTCCCCTGCAGGCAGCCTCTACTGTGACTGTTCTGTGTTTTTTTTAAAAAAAAAAAAAGAAAAAACAAAAAACAAAAAAATAGAGGGCAGGGTCCGGCCGGGGGGGGCCCCTGGGGTGGGGGGGGCGCATTTAGGAGGCGTGCTGGGCGGTGGAGAAGCAGAGCTTCAGCGTGTAGGGGTAGGGCCCGTCTGCAGGGAGAAAATGGGGTTAAAGGGGAGGAAAAAATAAAGGGAGATTATTGGGGGTCGTGTGCGAGCAATGGGGGGGGAGGGGGGAAGGGGGGGCACTTACTGGGGTTCTTCATCTGGTAGTGGTTGAGGAAGCCGAGGGTCTCCAGTGCGTCGCTCTTGGATTCCCACTCCAGCAGCCCCGAGGAGCTGCGTTCGCCTGCAGAGGAGTGAGCCTTCCTCAGCCCGGGGGCTGCGGGCGGCCGTGCCGCCCCGTCCTGCCCACCCCGCGGGGCAGGGAGCTCCCGCGCTCCGCTCCCTGCCCACACACACTTACTCTTGCCAGAGAAAACCTTGACGGAGGACGGCCGCTTCACTCCCAGCTCATCGCAGATCTAAGGGACAGAAAGCACGTAAAAAAGCCATCAGAGGGGAAAGCTGGGGGTGTTTGATCACAGAATGGCCAGGGGTGGAAGGGACCTCAAGGGTCACGAAGCTCCAACCCCCTGCCACACACAGGGCCACCAACCTCCACATTTCACAGCAGCCCAGGCTGCCCAGGGCCCCATCCAACCTGGCCTTGAACACCTCCAGGGATGGACGGGGCATCACAGCCTCTCTGGCAGCTGTTCAGCCCCTCACCGCTCTCACAGCACACAACTTCCCCTGACATCCAACCTCCAGCTGCCCTCCCTCAACTTCCAACCATTTCCCCTCGTCCTGCTGCTACCAACCCTTGCACAGAGCTGACTCCCCTCCTGGCTGCAGGCTCCCTTTAGGCACTGCAGGCTGCACTGAGGTCACCCCCCAGCTTCTTTTCTCCATGCTGAACGAGCCCAGCTCCCTCAGCCTGTCCTTACAGTGGAGGTGCTGCAGTTCCTGATCATCTTCATGGCTCCCCTGCACCCTCTCCAAGCTCTCTCTGTCTTTCTTGCACTGGGGGCTCCAGCCCTGGATGCAGAGCTGCAGATGGGGCCTCACAAGAGCAGAGCAGAGGGGGACGATCACCTCCCCGTCCCTGCTGCCACCCCTCTGCTGATGGAGCCCAGGATCCCATTTCCTTTCCGTGTTTAACCCCAAATGGGTTGAAGACACACAGGAATTGAAAAAACGGGGCGTGCGTGTGGCCCCAAATCCAAGGAGAATACAGAAAACGGCCCCGCATGCAGAGAAAGGCCGGCCCACCTCGTAGAAGTTCTCCTCCGTCACCTCGAGGGGCGCGTTGAAGAAGTGCAGCACGTTGCTGGGGTGCTGGATGCGGTTCTTGGCCGCCTGCTCAGGGGTGGAAAAGCGGTTGTTGCGTGACCCACTGAAGTCCTTGTAGCTGCAGGAGCCGTCCTCCAGCCCGTAAGACTGCCCCGGCATGATGGCTTGCTGCTTGGAGACGCTGCAGGGGCACAAGGGGGGGGTTAACGAAGCCCCGGCGCTGCTCCCATCGCCCCCTACCCACACCCAGCGCCCACCAGACGTTCAGCTTCTGCCCGAACATGAAGTTGTTGTTGAGGTGGGTGATGGCCCTGTCCACGGCGTATCCATCCGCCATCTCCACCATGGCTGCCCCCGGTTTGCTCTTCATGAACTTCACCTGCCGACAGCGCCCGGCGTCACACAGCGCAAAGGGGGAAGGGAGGAGAGGGGAAGGGAGGAGAGGGGGAAGGGGGGGCTGCCCCCCAAGAGCTCACCTTCTCCACGTTCCCGTAGAGGCAGAAGATGTTGAAGACGCGGTCGCAGTTCATCTTGGACTGATCCAAACCGTAAACCATCAGCACAGGGCTGTCGGCGTGAGGGCCGTACTCGGGGGGCGGCGGTGGGGGTGGGGGGTGCCCATATTGGGGGCCGTAACGGCTGGGCCCCCGGCGATGCCCCCCGACCGGGGGTCCCATCCTCCTCCCTTCGTAGTGGGGCGGCGGGGGGCCGTAGCCCTCGTCGTGGTAATGCCCGTGGTATCCGCCGTGGGGTCCTCCTGGGGAGGGGGGCACAGGGACAGGGTTGGGGACCCCGGGGCAGGGTGGGGGGGGGGCTGATGACCCCACACCCACCCCCCCAGCTCCGCAGCGGCCTACCGTACTCCGCAGGGTGGTCTCCCAGGAGGGGGGGCTGCCGCTGGCGCTTGTTGGGGTTGCCTCCAGGGTCTCCTGCAGTCAGAAGGTGAAGGGGGTGAGCGGCGCAGAGCGCGGGCACCGCTGGCAAACGGGGCCCCTCCGAGTCCCTACAGCCTCCCCGGGGGCCTCGGGGGCTGCCCAAGGATCCCGGGGAGGTGACGGAGCTGGGGCTGCTGACATGGCGCCTGCTGGGCAGCGCCGCCCACCGTTACCCCTCCCCACCTCCCCACCTCCCCCCCCCCAGGACCAGGAGACCACCAGGTCTCCTCCTGTCACCAGGAGAGGAGCACCTGCTGCTCGCCCCCCCCCCGGCTCCGGGACGCCGCTGGGTTTCTCTATCGAGCCGTCAAACAATTAATGGTTAACATACAGAAAAACAAAACCGAAATCATCATCATCGTCATCATCTACGGAAATCAAGTGGCAAGACATCTCCCCGCCCTGAGACAGGCAGCAAAGCGACAGCAGTCGGGTCAGCACCCGTCACAGACACGGCATCACCACCACGGCACCAAACAGTTGCTCTTCTCGTCCCTCTGCGCGAGATCCGTGCGGCTCGTTCCACGACAGAGATGGAAAAGGGGCTACTTACAGCGGGAGTGCAAAGTACAAAGTCCATTGTCATACAACAGTTCTGCATGGCTCTTACCATTGGACGCTTCAAGAGTGAGTTAGCACAGTTCTGAAAGATGGCGTCCCATCAAACATACACTGCGACCCTGCATCACATGGTTTCAGAGTCATAAACACAGGTCAAAGGCACAAAACCGCTACAATCTTTCTTAAAAAAAAAGAAAGAAAAAAAAAAAGCCAAATCTTTAAAAGAAAAAAACGTCTCACAGCTGTGCTGTCTGTCCTCGAGAGGTGCCGAGAGAGGACATAAAGGTGTGATAAATGAGAGTGTTCCTCCGTGTTTCACTCCTGAATTGTGTGGGGCTGTAACAGAATGGTGCTTCTGGCTCTGTGTAGCTCTTTCCGTGTGCGTGTCTCCTCTGTAATGGAAATGTGTCTCGGCCCAAAAGCGGCCCCAGCTACGGCCTCATGGGGCTCTGTGTGCCCTTGGGGTGGTTTGGTTTTGCTCTCCGCTCGGCGCTGATAATGCTGGCAGCTGAGGACTGCAGGAGAAACTGTGCGAGCAAAGAACTGCCCTCCCAAACCAAACCGTGCTGACAGCAATCCTAAGGCTGGAGGGCCTCAGCTCTGCTCCGTTCTCCGTAAGAGCGCTGCTGGGCTCGTGGTCAGGACCCTCTGGGCCGTGTTTTCTAGTTCTGTGGATTCACTCTGGTTTGGTTTAAGTAAAGGTAGTGTCTGCTGTGGCATGCTGCGCCTCTTTCTCTCTGTGCTGTAGAGTCCTTGGGCCACGGTGTGGTGTTCTTGATGTAATGAGCTCAAGCTGCTGCTTGTTTTTCTGGATGCTGCGTGTTTTCTCCAGTGAGGTTTTTTTGTTTTTTTTTTTGTTTTTCTACACTGTGTGATGGTGTGAGGAATGTGCAGAGGCAGGTCACGGCCCATTCGGGACTTCCGCCGCAGAACGGTCCCCGGGTTTATGTGCTTGGAGCTGGGAAAGGCCACGTTACTGCACCCCCTCCCCGTTCCCAGCCGCCTGCCAGGCGAGCCTGGATGCAGCTCAACAATGCACGGCCCTGCGACCGCTCTGCACATCTACGTATGTACCTTGGAGGAGGGTCTGCCCGTGCTCTGGGGATGTCGTGTGTTGCCATTGCTCGCTTCGGCACCCGAGGAAGGGGGCGAGTCGGCGCTAAAACCCCCCCGAACCCACCATGAAACCCCCTCCCCTCCGATCGCAGACACGAAGCAGCCGCCCCTCTGCTCAGGGGTCGCTCGGGGACGGAGGGGACGCGAGCCCGGTTCGCTCAGCGCCGAGATGGGAAGGGCTACAAAGCAATGGCACTTTTTCTTTTTCCCCCCCAAACCAACAGAGGCTCCTCAAGGAGAGAATTGAAAAAACGACCAACAAAAAAAAAACCCCCAAAAACCGCCTCAAAACCTCCCCCCATCAAGGAAAACTGGGTGTGCAGAGACTTCCCTCGCTCGCAGGGCCGCGCGCCGACGCTTCCCGACAAGCGAGATGCAGCAAGAGCCTCGAGAGAAGCCCGGAGCTCACGGCTGGGGGTTCAGCCCAGCTCTCCCCTCACCACCGGCCCTACAGGAGGCTCTGGGGTGAAGGCGCGGCAGCAACGTGGCGTGACGTGAAGGTGGGAGCTGTGAGTGCTGTACCCGACGGCAGCGAAGGGACAAAGCGCTGCAGGGACATTACCTTGTCCGCTGAGGTTGGGGTTGGTGTAGTCCCAGGTGTCCTGGTCGTTCTTGAACACGTTCAGGCGCGTGGGCTGCGGGCAGACAGACAGACGGACGGACAGAGGGATGAGCGGCGGCGGCAGCTCGCCGGGGGCCGCTGCGCTGCACGGCTGCTCACCTTGGCGTATTCGATCTTGAGCGTGCAGCACCCCGAGTAGATGTCGGCCCCGTTGAGGGATGCTTTGGCTCGCTGCGCGCTCTGCACCGAGTCAAACGTTCGCAGCGTTAAGGGAGAAGGCTGCAAAGTGAGCAGGGCTGCGAGGAGGTTCTCTCTACGTGGGAACGATCACGGACAAAGCCAGGGAACAGCTACACTGAACCCGCCCTGCAGCAGCACCAGAAGCACGGCCGCGCAGCCGCGGAGCTGCATTTAAAGCCGTTCCAAGCGACCCCACGGCAGCGGGGCAGAATGGAGACGCTCTGAGGCACCAAAGGATATTCCACCATGGCCTGGACGCCGTTCTTCCTGAAGATAACAATCCTCTGCACGGGGCCACACGGGTTGCAGATGGTGTAGAGCACATCCTGCAAGGAAACAGAGGCGAGGGATCCGCACGAGGCACAGCCACTGCCACCAGAACCCCAAAACGATGCGCCCACGTGGAAAAAAAACCCCACGGGCTACGTGAGCACGGGGCAAAGGAACAGGAAAAGCAGATTTAAGACCACTGAGAGGCCCCTCCGAACCCCCCGCTCACCGTCGTGATGGAGTAGATGGGGTTGAGGATGGTGAAGAGCAAAACGTTGTTGACGCCACGGGAGTCGTCGCTGTCCCCAGGGCGGGAGATCTTCTGGCTGGTGGAGTAGTTGACAAAAGCCGGGTGCCCGGCGATGTAGATTTGGTTGTCGGCCGCGTAGTTGACAGCATTGCAGGCACCCAGGATGTCCTCAAACTCCACCAGGGCCTGTCGCTTCTTGGGCATCACCACCACGTAACTGCAGCAAAGCGGACCGGAGCTCAGGGCTGCGGGAGGGGAACCGACCCACGGGGCTGCTGCAACTCACCTGATGGGACCAAACTCCTGCAGGGCCTCCACCAGGTCGGCCTCCACCACGCCGTCAATCAGCCCCCGGATGTGAACCACGGGGGACGCGGGGGTCTTGTGGGGATCGTCGTAGTTCTCCTGGGAGGGGACGTGGGGAAAACTTGGCTCAGAATGCAGCCATCACAGCTACCAAAGGCACACCGGGACCCCAACCCTAACCCAACCCCAACCCCCCTTAACCCCCACCCAACCCCATAACCCCTAATTATAACTCCTACCCCCCAAACCCTACCCCAAATCCTAATTCCCCCCCAACCCTAATTCCCCCCCCTTGCCCCCAACCCTAACCCCTAGCCCAACACCAAACCCCCAACCTCTAACCCAAACCCTACTTGCCCCCTAACCCAAACCCTAATTCCTTCCCTAAGCCCCCGAACTGTAACCCCCACCCAATCCCAACCCCCGAACCCCCCCAAATTCCTTCTAAACCCAACCCTGACCCCAAACCCTTATTTCCCCCCCAAACCCAAGCCCCCTTAACCCTCAACTCAACCCCCATAACCCTAATTCCCCCCCTAACCCAATCCCAATCCCGAACCCAACCCACAATTCCCCCCCTAAGCACCTCCCCCTGGGTTCCCCAACCCCTCAACCCTAAACCTAACCCTAAGCGCCCCCCTGCCCACGTGGCCCTCCCACCCCTACAGGAACAGTGGGCGGCCCCTGCCCCCTCCAACACCCCACGGACCCCCTCCCCAGTATTTCCCCCTCTCACCGCTCCGCCGGCCCCAGCCCCGCCGCCCCCCCCTGGTCCTCCAGGCCCATGAGGCGGCGGTTCCGCGTTTTCCGTCTTCTGACGCTTCGGGGCTCGGCCTCCGTCGCCCCCCCCTCCGTAGTACCTCCCCGAGCCGCCCCCGCCGCCCCCGCCCGCCGCCATTTTGCCCATCTCGCCCCCTCGGCCGCTGCCCTCCGCGCTCTGCGGGCCCCGCCACCGCCGCCGCGACATGGCGCCCCGCTCCGCCGCACCGCCTCCGCCACGCCCCCATTGGGCGGGCCCCACGCCACTCAGGCGGAGCGCTCGTTCCATTGGCTGGCCGCGATGCCGCTCAGCCGAAATCCCCGCCCTCCAAAGCGATTGGCCTTGCGTGCCTGCCAGCCCGTCCCTGGTTCGGCCGCGCTTCTGCCTGTCAGAGAGGGCAATGCATCCCATTGGCCACTACATCCTTTCATTCTCCCGCCCACCGAAGTGATTGGCTAGCTCAGACATTCGTCTGGGTTTGGCCCCGCCCCCCGTCTTGGTCCGCACGGAGCTTCCGCCTTCTTCTTCAGATCGGTTCTTCAGACCGCTCACCGCGGCTCCCAGAAGGCATTTCGGTAAGCCCTCGACACTCTATTGGTCAACGGACACGCCGCTCAACAACCCTTGCTCCTGATTGGCTTCGTTCCCGCACGTCACCACCCCAAGCGTGCGCAAATCTCATTTGCCAATCCTCCTGCCTGTTAACTTTGTCCCCGCGCTGGGATTGGCCAGACTGGCATTCCCCCCCAGTAAGTTGAGAACCCTTCAGAGCCCCCCAAGGGTCCTCCAGAGCCCAGGCTGGGGGTTCAACTCCCCCCCTGCCCCCCTCCCTCCCCCACCACTGAGTGTCCCTGCATCCCAGGACCCCCCACCCCAAAGACCCCACAGGGGCACAAAAACGGCAATAGGGACCCCCACCCCAAAAATACACAAAGCCAGGCTACGTCTGCGCTGCTGTTTAATGTCCCCATCCTCCTCTCTACGGCTCTTTGCCATCTGCCTGGTGTTTGCTGGGAGCTCCACTGCTCTCAGTGCGGCCCCCTGAGCCATCGGCGCGGCCCCTCCGGGATTTGGGGTCACCCCCCGAGGTGCTGCTCGTGTCCTCCTGGGCTGCCTTGGCATCAATGGCGGCGTGCTCCTTCCTCACCAGCTCCTGCAGCTCCTTCTGTGGGGTGGGAGAGAAGGGGTGGGAGGTGAACCCTCATGGGATGGAAGGGGGGGGGAAAATCCCCAACGTGTTGCTGTATTTTGGGGTCTCACCTTCCAGCCCAGCAGCTCTGCCAGTGCCAGGCAGCCCTCATCGCAGTCCCCCAGCCAGGCCACATCCCTGGGAGGGGGGGCAGAAGAATATGGGGGCACAGAGATGGGGGGGACACAAAGCGTGTGGGGAAAGGGGGCACACGAGGAAGGGGCAGCCCCTCAGTGACCCCCTAAAATACAAGGAAAGGCCACAGCCCTCAGTTCCCCACACGCACCCTCACCCCAGCTGCTGTGCCTGCGGACCCTACGCCCCCACCCCTCATCCCTGGATCCTCCTGTGCCCCCAATGTCCCCCCAGGCCCCCCCGCCCCCAGTCCCTGCCTGTAGGCTTTGTCTGAGTCGAAGTCCATCCCGCAGCCGAAGCCCATGAGGGACATGAAGGCATCACTCTGGGGACAATGAGGAGCTGATGAGACTGGGGGGGAGGGTGGCAATTGCCCCCTCTCGCCATTCAGCAACCCTATACACCCCCCCTACCCCCCATCTCCCCTCACCTGCCCCGTTTTCTCCTTGTTGATGAGGAGCCGGGGGGTGCTGGCAGGGACCCTGAAACACAAAATTGGGAACAATGAGAGAACTGAGGAGCTGAGACGCCGCAGGAAGGATGAGATGCATTGAGGGAAGGGGGGAACGTGGCGCATTTCGGGGTGGGGGCTGTGACCTGCTAACAAGGGAGGCGAAGGGCTGGACCTGAAGCGAAGTGCCCATGATGATGAGAAGATCGACTTTCTGGAAGTCCTGTGGGGACAGAAGGGGTGGCAAAGAGACAACTGTGGCCCCCCAGCCCCATCTCCATCGTGCCCCCCCGCCTCCCCACAAGCGCTCACCGACTGTAGAAGACTGAAGAAGCGAGATGGGAGGTTCTCACCAAAAAATACAATGTCTGGAAAAAACAGGTGAACATCACGGCATGGGGGGAGGGGGGGATGGATGCACTGACCCCCATCCCTTATCACCCCTAATTCAGGAGGGGCACAGAACCATCTCCTCGCCTCACCTGGCTTCACCACGCTCTGGCACTTGTCACACTTGGGGACGAGGGACGAGAAGATTTTCTCTGTGACAGAACAGGGCACCACAGCTCAGCAGGGGGGTGGGAGGTGCACACGAGACCCTCCCCCATCCCTCCCCTCCCCAATCTCCCCCTTCCCGCCGTTACCTTTCACCCAACTCAGGTCATACTGATGCCGGCAGGAGGAACGCAGGCAGTGTGCAGTTTGGAAGGTGCCGTGAGCCTCCACCAAATCCTCAGGTTGCAGCCCTGCCACACGCTCCAGCGTGTCGATGTTCTGTAGGAGAGGGAAAGTCATAGGGACAGCATTTAAGGGTGTTCTCAGCTCCGGGAAGGGGGCACAGCAAAGGGGGTGCACCTGTGTGTAGCAGCGCAGCAGCAGCCCCTTCTCCTTCAGCAGCCGCATGAAGTAGTGGCAAACTGTGGGCTATGGGAGAGAGAGGAACCACGGGGAGGGGGGGTATATGGTGTCCAACCCCCCAAGAATCACCTCTTACCTTCAGCTGTCCTGGGAGCAGCTCCTTAGCCAATGCAAAGAAAGGCTCTGGGTGTTGCTGGAGGAAAAGTGGGGGGGGGAGGGGGGTGATCAGAGTCTGGTGGGGGGTTCAGGGCCCGGTGCTGTGCTGAGGGGGGGCTCAGAGGGCGCTCAGCCTCAAGTTCCCCCAAACCTTGAAATAGGAGATGTCAAAGATGGCCTCAGGGTAGGGCAGTTCATAGCGGCTCAGGTTGGCGTACAGCCCGGTTCCAGGTGAGCGGAAGTCGGGGATCCCGGCGGCTGCCAAGGGGGGGGGGGGGTTGTTACCATAAACGCTGCCACTCCTCCGCCTCCCCCCCCCGGTTCTGCTCACCCGTGGAGATCCCGGCGCCCACCATGCACACCACGCGACGGCAGCGCTCGCTCTGCATAAACCGGGCGATTCCCGTCAGCGACAGCTCATCCAAAACGCGTTCCGGCGGCTCCGTGCCCAACCCCAGCGTCCGTGCCAGGAGGTTTCGCAGCAGCTCCACTGCGGGCGGTACCGGGAGGAATCACAACGGGGTCCCGCCGGCCCGGCCGGGCTCCGCACCCCACACTCACTATCGGGATCCTCCGTGGAGCCGCCCTCAGCTTCAGCGTCGGGTTCAGCCCCGGGAGGGGGAGCTGCGGAGGTGGGACGGGGCGTCACGGAGGGCCGGAGGGACCCTCCAGCCTCAGCACCGCCACTGCCACCACCATTAGCACCGCCATTACCGTCCGCTCCGGACATGGGAGCTCCTGGAAGCGCTTCCCGGCATGCCGTGGGGCGTCTACACTGTTTGGCAGAAGACTCCAAACTTCCGGGTATGCCCGGCATGGGTGGTGCTGATTGGCTGAAGGCGCCACGCTTCCCGGGATGCTCTGCGCGGACGGCGCTGGCTGGCTGAGACAGCTGTACTTCCCGAGATGCATAGCGCCGGTTTCTCTGATTAGCTGAAGACGCCACGCTTCCCGGGATGCATTGCGCAGGCGGCTCTAACCAGCTGGAAGCGCCACACTTCCCGGTATGCCCCGCGTGAACTCTGCTGATTGTCTGAGACCGCCGCACTTCCCAGCATGCTCTTCGCTACAGCCATCGATCTCCGCACTTCCCAGCATGCCTCGCGCGGGCAGCGCTGATTGGCTGAAGGAACTTACCACTCCCATCGTGCCTCTCTATTTCCCGGAAGTGTTCTCTGGACTACGCGTCCCGGCGGGCCTTGCGCTGCTTCCCCCCCCTCCCGGGCCGCGGGGATTTCCCGGCCCGGCGGCGCTGGGCCCGTGGTGGCGGGGCCCTGAGCGCGGCCCGGCTGATGGCGGCCGCGGGGGCCGCGCCGTCCGGCGATGCGAAGCGAACGGAGGGAGACGAGTGGTACGACAGCGGGCTGGGCTCATTGGGAGAAGGGCAGTTGGCACCGCTGTCCCACAGCCCCGGTCCGGGTCCGGAGTCTCCCGAAGAGGCTCCTCCGGAGGCCCCGGAGCCCGAGGCTGAGGTGTGGCTGCGGCACGTGCTGAGCTTCGTCAGCGAGGACGGCGATACGTGAGTGAAGGAGCAGCGGGGGGAAGGGGGACGGGGGGGCGGTGATCGGGGCCGCTGAGCTGAGGCCGAACCCCCCCCCAAACCCCCACCACAGAGCGCTGCACCTCGCGGTCATCCACGAGCACGAGGCTTTCCTGGATTCCATCCTGCAGCGCGCGGCAGGCACTGCTTACATGGATCTGCAGAACGACCTCGGGCAGGTGAGGGCAGCCGGGGGGGCCTGGAGCTGTTAGAGAGAGACCGGGGCGACCCCCGGGCTGTGGGGCAATTGTCTGGGCTGGGGCTGATCCCTGGGCTGGGTGCAGCAGACGGGGGGGGTTGGGGGGATGAACCCCTTGTCTGGGGGCAGGCAAAGGAATTGCAGAAACACCAAGGTTGGAGAAGACCTGCAAGATCACCCAGTGCCACCGTCCGCCATCACCAGTAGCTCTCACTAAACTGTGTCCCTCAACACAAAATCCCAGCACCAAGCACCAGCCCAGGCGATTCCTGAAGTGAGGGCGACTGCCCGGGTCAGGCGGTGATCCGTGGGGCCTTTCCCAACCTTGACTGATTTCCTCTCTCTCTTGCAGACCGCCCTGCACCTGGCTGTCATCTTGGGGCTGCCCGGCTTCGTGCGCAAGCTGCGGGCGGCGGGCGCGGGGCTGGGACTGCAGGAACGTGGGGGTCACACAGCCCTGCACCTCGCGTGCCGGGAGGGGCAGCCCCACTGCGCCCAGCACCTCCTGGGGGGTCTCGGCTGCCCCCTGAGCGAGGAGGAGCGTGCGCAGCTGGAGAGCGTCAACTATGATGGTAAGGTGGGG